CTCCATCCTCTCAAGTTCATTCATTTCCTTTTGCAGTTGGTGAACATTGTGCTGATTAGTGAATTTGTACTTCGCAATTGGTCCGGGTCATAACAGCACAGCAAAAGCTCATAATTGACAATGCTGGAATAGTCTCATCATCATCAACGAAGAACCAATGTCGATATCCTATCTGGCGCTTGGCGCCCAGACTACAAATGGCAGATCCTATCTAGCCTATCTACAATGCCGCCGATGACGTCAACAGCTTCCTGAAGTACAAGCAGATCGCGGCCAATGCCGTACGCTTCAAGCACCAGGTGTATCTCTCGTATCACTCACAACCTCATTCCCCAACTCACAGATGCCACATGCACGCAAGGACCACCATGCGCCCCATCCAGCATACAGCAGCGCAGCTCGGCTATGGCTGCCTGCTCCTTCCAGCTCGCCCGTGAGCGCGTGAGCGCTGGCCAGCGTTAGCGCAGCAGCGCTTGCGCAGCATGCAGCCAGTGCCCAAATCCTCAATACGTGGCCAGGCCCTTTCCTAAATGGAAGTGGCCTGCCTGCATTGTGTGCAGCCTGGCTGTGCTGGTCCCTGCCCAGAAGCTTCCGGTAAGCCCCGGGAGGCTGAGCCACAGTCCGAATGAATCAGGCCCAGGGCCACCGACAGTTACCCATGCCCAGAAAGGAAACCGCCAGATTGAATGAACTTCTCAGAGGACTAACGAAGCATGGAGGAGGGAACACAAGGCTCAAGGCCTCGATCTGCCCTAATGGACCCTATTTTCTGAATAGTCGGCCGCCCTAAGTGAAGGCAGGCTCGACCCAGGGCCTACAGGCCTATTTTGGGGTCACCACGCAATTGGGTGAAATCAGGCAGTTGTGCAGTGCCAATTGGTTAAGAGCGCCCAGGCCCAGGCTGCCTCTTTCGAATGTAACCGAGGCAGGCCCTGGGCCAGATTCGCAACATGGACCGAACACCGGCCGCAGGCAGTTGGGCACGGGCAACCACCACAGGCCCAGGGCCTGATTTGTTTGGACTGGAGCTCAGCCTCTCTGGGCCTACCGGAAGCTTCTGGGCAGGGACCCAGCGCAGCCAGGCTGCACTCAAGCAGGCAGGCCACTTCCATTTAGGAAAGTGCCTGCCCACGCATTCGGCATTCGGGCACTGGCTGCATGCTGCGCAAGTGCTGCTTCGCTAACGCTGGCCAGCGCTCACGCGCTCACGGGCGAGCAGGATGAGCAGGCAGCCATAGCCGCACTGTGCTGCTGTAAGCTGGATGGTGCGCACGGTGGTCCTTGGGTGCACGTGGCATCTGTGAGTGGGGGATCAAGGTTGTGAGTGATACGAGAGACATACCTGGTGCTTGAGGCGAACGGCATTGGCCAAGATCTGCTCGTACTTCGGGGAGCTGTTGACGTCACCAGCGGCATTGTAGATAGGCAAGATAGGATCTGCCATTTGTAGTCTGGGCGCAGAGCGCCAGATAGGATATCGGCATTGGTTCTTTGTTGACGATGATGAGACTATTCCAACATTGCCACTTATGAGCTTTTGCTGTGTTCTTATTAGGTGGAACTCGTGTTGCAATTCTGCTTTTGGTCCGAGGTCACAACTATCTGGTCACATGTGTATGATGGTGCTTGGTTTCTGAAGTTCGCTATGGCTCATTTTCCTTGCAAATTATGTTTTTATTTTATTTTTTCTTCTAAATTTGGTGAAACATTTCGATGTGACCCTGACGCAAAAGTTGTTCAGTTTATTTTTCTGCATAACATAGTTTTTTTTCGTTTTTTTTTTTATTTTTTTTTCCGGTGACCTTCCCTGATCCTTGCACGGGCTGGCCACCCGGGACCCGGGCGGCCCGGCTGGTAGCCTAGATATTATCATAATAAATTAATAATTGAAAAATCTATTTTCTTAAATTTTATTCTTTGAAAGTTTCCATTATAGTTTTCGATTCTTAGCTCGACTTTGGTCGGGAATTCCAAGATGGCTCCCAGGCAAATGCATAGAATAATTATTTGGGAGATTTATTTCATTTGAAATTTTGCATAGAATATTTTTTTGGGAGATTTATTTTATTTTTACGTACGCGTATGCACAATTTTAGGTATTTACGTGTACTCTGCAGTACATGTGAGTATTCCCCACGTATGCGTACTCCCTGCGTACGCGTACGGGGTGCTACCCAGATAATTTTAAATTTGGTAAAGAATTTGAATGTGACCTTCAGTGAGTGAGTAATCATCGGTGCAGATATCGTGCAAAGCATCAATACATGCAGCGTGCTGTAAGTCCATAATCATGAACAAAGTAGTCCAACACATCTTCAATCAACTCAACATGAATGATTGCTTTCAAAAATGACGATACAGCGTTTTTTTTTTGTTTTTTTTTTGAAAACACCCCCAGCGATACAGCACCGACTTTCATAGTTTCTCTTTGGATTTTATTATTTTAATAAATTCTGGTTTCGTTTTGTTTTCTTCTTGTTTTCTGCGACCTTCCCTGGTCCTTGCTCGGCCGGGCCACCCGGGCAACCAAGGTGATCAGGGCGGCTTGGGTGATACCCCAGCTATCATCATCAACAATATCTGAATACTTTTCCGAAAACGAAAAGAAATTGAGGTCACAAGACTTGGAACAGGATCATCAGTTTGTCATACCTTAAGATCTTCATAAGTTAGGTTTATCATTTTGTAGGGATAGCCGCCGCTTTCGAATGCATATGGTGTGTCTGGAAATAAAACCTGAATATAGCACATGACAAAAATACAAGGTTGGTTCTTTCTTTTTCAAAACCCACACACAGGTGCCCCTTCTATTCTGGGGGTGACAGTCCGGTTACTAATTACCGGCAACGGCGGCAAGCATGAAAAACAGCGAAAATTTTACAATTCATGGAGATAGCCTTATCACCCTGGTCTGCAATTTCCTCTTGTAGCCGGGAGACTCCCAGTGGTACCCAGTTGCTATAAGTTGGTTCACCGCTTTTGGGGGGCGAGTTCTTATACACTTTCTATGAATACAAGGTTGATTCTTCGACTCGCTTGTGATGATGTATGTATATATAATATATATATAATCTATTTGACGATATATATAATATAAAAATATATATATATATATATATAATATATAATAGATATATATTAAGGTTCCTTCAGAACAAACAACGTAGACAAGCTCAGAGAGACACACACACACACACACAGAGAGAGAGAGAGAGAGAGAGAGAGAGAGAGAGAGGAGAGAGAGAGAAGAAAAATAAAAATCAAACCTCCACGTTCGTTGATATCTGTGAAAAACAGGAGAATTTTGTCGTGAAATGACAAATTGCTGGCGTAAGAGAAGCTCATGATTGAAGATAACGATAAAAAAGGGAAAAGTTATTGTAGAAAGATATGAAAAAGAGCTAATAAAACAAAATTTAAGAAATCTCATCACTGAAGATCTGGGGAAAAAAAAAAAAAACAGTGCGCGGATGATTACAAGCGCAGAAAAAAAAAGGTGCTTGTCATGGAGGAACAATATTTCAACTACGTTTTGCTATGCTTTGTTTGTTATGCTTCGTGACAAATTTCGAGTACTGCATGCTTCAAGGTAGGATGAATCAACCTTACTTGGCCTTTTGGCTAAGATCATGTTTGTATCTGTTTTGATCAGTTTGATATCTTATTTTGAAGAAAAAGGTAGGTTGAACCACAAGTGCCAGTAAAGCTTTCCTAAATTTTATCCTGTATACTTGGAGGCCGTGCTTTCGATGTACCAGCCTGCTTGGAGGCAGTTGGATACATACATATTGGATGAGAATTTTGAATTTTCTCCAGGACGAAAGTGCAAAAGATGTGCATTTGGTACTGATATTTTGAGAACTTGAGCGGATAATTAGAAATGCAGTTTTAAAAGGGAAAAAAAAGCAAACAAAAAAAAAAAAGGAATAGAACATAGAATCAAACATGTCCTATTTACAATTAAAAACTTGGCACACCTCAAAAGATGAAAGTCGTGAGTGGCGGATGGCCCAGTGGTTAGGGCACCGGTTGGAAATGCACACTATGGTCTGAGGTTGGGGGCTCAAAACCCCACAGCCTCGTTCATACACCTGCGGCAGGGCGTTAGGTTGATGCACTACCACTCACACAGCCAGGGGCCACGGGTGTACGTAAGGATCCTGCATAGACCTGACCTGGGGTCCACCTGAGAGGGTGCGCAGCGGTGGCGAGTGCCTCCCCTTGGGGTTGCTGGAGGCCATGGGGGGAGACGGCTCCAGGAGAGGCAGGCACAGTGGGGATGCATACGGGAGGAGCGAAGGGTTCACCCCCTTCCTAGCAGGATTGACTCTCATCCCCACACCACCTGGTGACTGTGGTGCTTAGGCCTCCCAGCCGGGTGCCTCGGGGATGCAGGACCCTGAATTAGAAGGGGATGCACCATGACGCACCGCCGACCTGGTAGCTCCGGTCCAGGCTGATACTCCTGGGTGTGAGTAGTAGGGTCTCTCTTCTAGCCCTCCTCTGAGAGTCCTGGTCTTGAGTGATCCCTGAGTGAATGGGTGGGGGTCCACTGTGCCGACAGGTGGGTTGAACCTGGGGCGTGAAGCCCCCTGCCGGACCTCCTCCCTGGGTCATATCCCCTACACCCCACAACCCCTTTAAAAAAAAAGGAAAAAAGGATGAAAGTCTAACCCACACCTTTCCTCGTACCTTTCAAAAAGGATAAAATGATAAACCATGCAAAATCTTTATTTTTTTTTAATCGTTTGTCAAATTTCAGTCATGAAGACGAAAAAGAGAGGGTTGATGAGCAAGAGACCGATGAATGGTCATACAAATACAAAATTAGATTCATTAGGCCTGTAGTATTACAAACATCAAAAACATACACCATTCATATTCAGGTCCACAAACACCGCACTTCCTTATGTGTTTCAATTGCCTCCATAAGCGATCATTATCAAGGGGAGCTTCCCTTCAACCCGAAGAAGACCCATTTGAATGCTCGAATCAGGACATATGACATATGACATATGACATATGACATATTGTTGTTGATGTTGACAAAAAAAACATCCACTTGTTTAGAGCCAAAAGTAAATAATAACAACAATAATCTAGCTTTCCCGGGGCGCTCGGCCGGGCTGGGCACCCTGCCTGGGGTACCCCGGGCATGAAAAAAATCCACTTAGTTTTTTGTTTTTTTTTTCACGGCATGGCCTTGCTGCGCTTTGGCAGTACGATCCAAATCCGGCCTCAATCGTTTTTTTGCTGCATGTCGGCTTCTGGGTGTTGAGGGGGGGGGGCGGGGGATGAGGGGCAGGGGGGGGGAGGGGGGAGGAGGGAGGAGGGAGGAGGCAGGGTATGGAAGAGTTGGGAGGAGGAAGGCGATGGAGAGGGAGGAAAGAGGGAGGCGATGGAGATGGAAGCAGGAGGGAGGAGGCAGGGTATGGCGGAGTATGGAGGAAGGAGGCGATGGAGAGGGAGGGAGGAGGGATGAGGCAAGGTATGCCGGAGGAGGGAGGGAGGCAATGGACAGGGGGGGGAGGAAGAAACGATCGCGAGACAGGGAGGAGGGCGGCGATGGAGATGCAAGGAGCGAGGAGGCGAATGAGTACAGAGAGTAAGGGTGCTAAGCGACTAGCAGCGGGCTTTTTTTTTTTTTTTTTTTTTTTGGAAGAATCCCTCTTGTGGTAACAGATAGGAGTGATGATAAGAGCATACACTTCTATCTGGACCCCTGGGGGCTCCAGTCTATTGGTGGGGAGCTGCACCTGCTGGAAAACGGGTCCAGCGTCCCTTGATTGCAATGAAAAGATAATGATATACAAAATGCTGGGAACCGGGCCCAGCGTCCCTTGTACCTCTTCACCCTCAATTGAGTGGCGCCAGATATTTCAGTAAGCTCTGGTACTAGACTGGTTCTGATAGTCTTGGCTATCTGATTGCGAACCTTCCAACTGCTATCTGATTTTACTGAGGATTTCCTCCTCAATCATGACCGTACCAACTCATGGGGACCAGGTATAGTGGGGAGGGGGGAAATGGGTCTGGGAACTCTGATGGGGGTCGCAGGGGGATTGATGGGTCTATATTTGACCAACCATGGAAAGACAGGTAGTAGTCTCTTAGGACCTCCTCAGCTTGTCCTCCCATTTTTCTTTTCCTGTGCCCTCCTTCTCTGATTTGTCCAATCTTGCCTCCTTGAGGCCCCCCTAGCCAAGCGCCACTGAATTGGTGGATGTGATGTAGAATTTCCTTTTTGGATGATAGTAGTTGGATTTTTTCATTAATTTTGTTCCATTGAATTGTGATGTCAGTTTGCACTTGCAGTTTAACCATTTCTGTTATCTTCGGGCCGTCGATCCTTGCATCTTCCATTTCAAGAGTACAGCGTCGGTTCCAGAGAGCCCAGAGAATGGCTCTTCTGCCAATTTGGAATAAGTTGCATGTGAAGTCGTCGAGAGGTATTGGGGACCAGGTCTCACATAATAGAGCCCTCCAGTCCCTCGGCCATGTTTGTTGAGTGTTTAGGGAGTTCCAAATTCTATCCCACCAGCGCCATACCCAGACTGCACCATGACATTGCAAGAAGATGTGTTCTATGGTCTCAGGAATGGACCTACTTGGAAATGCAGATAAACATGACTTACACCAGGGTTTGGCTAGGCCTTTTTCCTCCAGCGAGGTCCTGTCCATGAGCCAATCATTTGTGGGAAGGCATCGGTGGTCTATTTGCCATTGTAAAGATGCAATCTTGGTCGGTCTGATTTTGACAGTTTTGAACCACTTGATTTTCCTGAGATCATATTTGCTTACATTCAAGTGTTTCATCCATCTGGTTTCGACCCGATTTTTCAAGTCCAATCTGGGCGTCAACATCCTGTAAGTTGATTTGACCGACAGTGTGTGGATGTTACGAGAACACTTTTTTTGGCTCTTCGTGGGGACTGTCCATGACCAATAAATTGGGTTAAAAGCCAACTTATTAATTGGTAGGGATGGTTCAAATGCAAGCCAATGTTCCTTTTGTTTCAACACTCTGATCCTGAATACTAGGTCAGTTTTGACCCATCTGGTTTCATTTGATTGGCTCACCTTTGTCTGGTTTCTCTGGTTGATTGGAAATATTGAGAGTAGGACTTCATCTCTTTCATTGAGCATCACTACATTCCCTATTTGTTGGGCGTTTCCGTGGAGACCCACCCAATCACTTTCTTTAAGTAGGGGACCCTTTCTGAGGATTCTCAGCCATTCTATCGGGATGGCTTCAGTAATTGTGTCAAGGGCGTTTGCTGGTCCCCTGCAGTACCATAGGTTCGGCATGAGGTCTGTGATCTGGTACCAATCTTGCATTTCCGAGCTCCATATGTCCCCAACCCTTAATATCCCATTTTTGACCCAACCTTTCCAAGGGGAATCCATACAGTGAAAGCATGTACCATGAGAGTCAGTTATCCATCTATTATTGAAAAAAGGTTGCTGGCATACTTCCTCCCATCTGTTTGGTGAAGTTTTGTCTGGAAGTGGGAGTGTTCGCCAGGTTATGAGGAGGTTTACCCAAAATGGGTCATTTTTAGTGTCCATTCTTACAGCTTGACGATGGGATATAGTTGGTGGATTTGAGGGTTGACTAATTCCTCTTGGGATGGACCAATAACAATTTTCTAGCCACATCAGTGGGTCGATCTCATTGGGTACTTCCGGAGCTAGTCTCTTGATTTGTTCTTTAGCTAGCGCTATCCAGGGGACCT